CACCCCCGAGCCGCACCCGCCTCGGCGAGCCCGCCCGCCGTCCGCGGCCCTCTGCCTCGGCCCCTCGCCTGCCCGCAGCTCTACCCTCCCCGCCTCCTCTCCGCCAGTCGTCCTCCCCCGGTCCCTCCGCGCTCCCCTCCCGGCCCTCGCGCCCGCGCTCGCACTCAGCGCTGCCCCCGCCATGACGGAGGCGGGTGCCGGTGCCGCCGCCGCCGTCGCAGGGGGGGAGTCGGGTTCCCAGAAAGTAGCTTGATGAGTGTCCAAAGTAGCAGTGGAAGTTTGGAGGGGCCGCCATCTTGGTCCCGGCTCTCCACGTCTCCAACCCCGGGCTCGGCGGCGGCGGCCAGGTCCCTGCTGAATCACACGCCGCCATCCGGGAGGCCCAGAGAAGGTAAGCGCCGCCGCGCCCTCCACGGGGGCCTCGGCGCCCCTTGCCGGGGACACGGGTGGGGGCTGGGGGTGGGGGACGCCGCGCTGCGGGGAGGTGGCGGTTCGCGGGTGGCGCGAGGCACGCGCTGTGGGCACCGGGCGAGGCGCGCGGAGTGACCCGGGCTCCCCGGGAGCCGGTGGGGCGCGGGCGGGCGGAAGGAGGAGGAAGCCTGCCCCGGCCGCGAGCCCCTTTCTATCTATTTGCCCTGCGCTTCGCACTCCTCTCCTCCCGGCCTCGGGACCCCGTGGGCTTGCCCTCCCGGTGCAGCTTTCATCCGCGAGCCCCCTCCCCTAGCCCGCACTCCTCCCATAGAGGCGGTCCCCACGCCGCGAGCCCTGCCACCCGGATGCCCCTCGCCCGCCCGGGCTCTGCCCTTTGAGGAGAGACGCCGGAATGATCTAGACAGACTTTGATCCCTAACGTGGCCCCCAAGAGCAATCCCAACGACAGACTGACTCGTGGGCAGGCGCTGAAGCCACCCCTCCAGATGGTTGCAACTTTCTCTCCTTCGCCATCGCCTCCTGCCTGTTTTGTGCGGTTTCCTCGCCAGTGCAAGTAGGCTCGCGTTCTTCTCTGCTAGGGTGGTGGGTTTTTGTGCGGAATTTCTGCGGGAAGGTTTCTGCAAAACACGCACCGAGATCGGTTACAATTGTTTTCTAAGTTTTCTGGCTTCTTGCATGCAAGTGTGCTGCCACCAGATGTAGCAGTTACACAGCTAGTAAGGCACCCTAGTGCATTTCACTAAAATTTGAACTTGCTGTATTTAACTTTAAGTATTCGGCTTAAAATGGAATTTGGGAGTACACTCATTTTACCAGGGAAGAATAAATGTGCATCGAATCTATTTTAACGCTCTTTTGTCTGGAAAATGCGTAGCGGTATTCATCTGCAGCAGTTGATAAACGGGTTGTTCGTTTCCAGTTGTCTTACACGAGATTATAGGCACATTTTTAAAAAAGAAAACGTTTGGAAGTCCAACAGTCTAGTGAATCGTTTAAAGAAATTCAGAGCTTCGGTTTGTGTAGGAATTGGTAGGATTAATGTATTTCGAAAATATGTCGGCATTTACTATTCAGAGCCTTGACAATTGTTAATCAAATGTTTCGTGTCCTGATCCAGTGGTTCAGGCATAGCATTCTTTGTCATTTTGTTCCTGTGAGCATGTGTGAAAGTGACAATAGGCGCAAAGATTGGCATGAATATGCTCTAGAAAATTCATGGGAAGGTTTGATTTATGGCATCCATTAAACATGCCGACTACATTGACAGACATTTTCCCCTTTCATCTCACCCCCAACACTGATTTTTTCATTAATAGAAGGTAAAAGCTTATTTACTGAATGACTCAAATTTAATATATCTGTTGGTTTTTCTTTTTGCACTTGAAAATTTGTAAATGTTTTAAAATTCATTTTATAAATAGAGCAGTTGGTGCTTTTAGGGTATTTCCACGTTAGTTTCCTTAAGATGCCTAATGATAGTGTTGTGAGTTGCCAAATACCATCTTGTTTTTTAAAGTAGTATACCTTTTTTAAAAAAAAAATAGAATTCCTCATTCATTTCTCAAGTATTTATTGAGCCATTACTATGAGCCAGGACCTGTACTGGATACTGAAGAGATGATGTTGAATTGTTAAACTGTTGACATCTGTTATCAGTATTGGGAATTTGGCAGCCACAGAATCTAGATTGTGAGTCTCTGAGGTAAGGTAAACTCTATTTAAACTTCTCATCTCTGTGTGTTATCCTGCTCTGTTCCTGAGGTTGGAAAACTTTGAGTGGTTAAATTTAGTGTGAATTTACGAATAGATATTTTCCCCCAGCAGTTTAGTTTGTAATAGTTTTTTTTTTTTTTTTTTTTTTTGAGACGGTCTCCCTGTAGCCCCAACTGACTTGGAACTCACTATGTAGACTAGGCTGGCCTCCATCTCACAGAAATCCACCTGTTTCTCTGCCTCCCAGGTGCTGGGATTAAAGGCGCTCAGGATCACCACACCCAGCCTCGCAGTAGACTGTTGTTAACCTACAGCAGTGAGCCTCTGACTAGGACTTGGTTTTGTGAAAGTTAACACTTCACACCAAATTTCCTCCCTTACCTGCTCGCTCTCCTTCCCTCCTTCCCTCTGTCTTCTTCCCTTCTTCCTTTCACCCCTCCCTCTTTCTGCCCCCCTCCCCCAAGGGCCTTCCACATTATAGGTATGTGTACTACCACTGACCTGGGCTGTGACCATTGTGGAACATTTCTTTTTGATATGCAGCATGTAAGTTAAAACTTGTTAATCCTATCTCTATTGTTTTGAGACTTGGCACTGTTTTATTAGATTTCACTCATGTTATTAGGAAGCCCCAGGTATCTAGATGGAAATGTTTTTCTTTGCGTGGAGTCTCAGTTTTTATTATAACAAGTGTTTAGTACGTTTTGCAGGTATATATATGCTAATATGGTGCATCAATCATGATGTTTGAGAACTTTGAACTTCAAGTGGGGACTAGTAAGAACTGTTAATATTAGTGAAATTAAAAGTATATTGAATGAATGTATCAAGAACACAAACTTTGTTTCTTGAAAACAACCAAATTAACATACAGTCATAGGACAATGAAAACTTTAAAAGATGTATAGGTGCATATAAATACTTTAGTGATGAAATTTCATTTGTTTGTTTGTTTGAAACAGGGTCTCCCTATAGTCCCAGCTGGCCTGGAACTCCGCTGTGTAGACTAGGCTGGGCTGGCACTCAGAGATCTGCCAGCCTCTGCTTCCCCCGTGCTGGGATTAAAGGCATGTGCCACCATGCTTGGCTTAGTGATGAATTTCTTTTAAGTAAATTAAACTTTGAGAATGCTTAGAGATATACCATATGTGCCTGTAAACATTAGGTATTTTGAAGTTTTGACATATTTGAGTCCCAGTTTAAGATGTGTAATCTAATTATTTTTAATGCTATATATTTTGGCTCTGTTCCCCTCTTTCTCACTCTATTCTTATATCCATATAGCTTTGTTTAGTTTCAAAAACAATACAGCTTGAGATGTGAAGAGATTTGGAATCTGTTATATCTTAGGGATTTTTATGATAGATGTGGGCAGTACAGGCCTTTTTTTTTTTTTTTCTCTCTAGGTCCCAGAATTTTTCTTAATCTGGAAGTTCTTTCATAGGTACTCAGCAGGTTTTCTGTTGGATCTTTTGAACCTGTAATCTCCATCACATTTTGTCTCCTATATTCCTTGTTAAGGGTAGAGAGTTAAGAAATTAAGACTTTTAAATGTCAGTTTTACTTTCTTGAAATCCAGTAACTTTGTGTCTTATTAACTAAGTGAATTTTTATTTTATTTTTTTGTCTTTTGCATGTTAATACATAGGTGCTTTTTAAATACATTTTTGATAAGAAACAAGTGATTGATTATGCAAAGTACTTTTTTTTCTGTTCCATCTTGCCAGTTATGAGTAATTTTACCTTTTTGTAAATAGTGGAAGTATTTTGGTCCAAAAGATGGCATCATAGAACAATTAAAATTGTTACTTTCAAATGTGTTTCTGTATTTGAAGACTACCCTTTTTTTTTTTTTTTTTTTCCTTCTGTCTTTTTGAGACAGGGTCTTTCTGTGGCCCCAGCTGTCCTGGAACTCACTGTGTAGACCAGGCTGGCCTTGAACTCACAAAGATCCGCCTGCCTCTGCCTCCCAAGTGCTGGGATCAAAGGCGTGCACCACCACACCCGGCAAGACTACATTCTTTAGAAGAATTAAAGTATTTGACTTTGCTACCCCAATGAAGATGTTAGACATAAAATACAGGGCTGGGTGTGGTGGCACATGCATTTAATCTCAATACTTTAGAGGCAAAAGCAGGCAGATCTCTGAGTTGTAGGCCAGCCTGGTCTGCATAGTGAGTTTCAGGCCAGCCAGGGCTATATAGTGAGTCCCTGACTCCAAAAAAAGAGCCTCCTATGTCTTTAAGAAAGAATACAAATTGAGAAAAAGTTGTCTAATACGACAATCTAGATTTGTTTTTCTCATGATAAAATCACACACACACGCACACACACACACACACACACACACACACACATATATATTTTTTGGGGGGGGGGCTCTTTTTGAGACTGGGTCTCCCTGAAGCTCCAGCTGCCTGGAACTCACTGTAGACCAGGCTGGCCTTGAACTCACAGAGGATCTGCCTGCCTCTGCCTCCTAAGTGCTGGGATTAAAGGCATACACCACCACGCCTGGCACAGAGTTATATATTTTTAAGGGTTCTAGCTCAAATAAATATATGTGCCCATTTACATGTCAGCAGAGCAAGAGAAGAAAACTCAGGGTAGAAATTTGGAAATCTCATAAGACATATGCTACATGCTAACTAAACTTTATGGTCTCACAACCACTTTATCCTCCTAAAAATTAGTAAAGACCCCAGATAGGTTCTTTTTCTCTGGGTTATGTCTTTTTTTAACAACTATTTTTCACTTCTTTTTATTTTACCTGTATGAGTGTATTGCCTGCATGAATATGAGTACACCCGTGTCGTGCAGTGTTTGAGGAGTTCAGAAGAGGGCATCTGATCCTCTGGAACTGGAGTTATGGGCAGTAGTTAGCTGCCATGTGGGTGCTGGGATTGGAACCTGGGTCCTTTGCAAGAGCAGCCAGTACTCTTAACTGCTGAGCCATCTCTCCTGCCCCTGTCTTAGTTCTGTCTTAATACTTGCTGTATTAGAAATTGAGAATTTCAAAAGTATTAATTTAAAATGTAATTAACCAGTTACATGTTAAGTAAAAATTTTTGTGAATAAGTATGTTCTAAATCAAAAAAAAGAGTGTGGCTAGTGGTATTATTTTATATTTTTGCACTTTTTTTTGCCTACTGGAAGAACAACTGGATTTTTCCATTTATTGAGATTTCTTTCTTTCGTTCTTCTTTCTGTCTTTCTGTCTTTCTTCTTGTTCTTTTTTTAGACAGG